AGGTTTGCAAAACAGAACACAGTACAAAATCGGAATATTATTCAAAACAAACAAACGGATGGATGGCGTCATTCCCTGTCGCCCACGGGACAGCGTTACGATACCAGATGAATGGAACGGGAGGGGGAAAAGGGGTAGAGTGCCCCTCGTTGGTTGCCATATTTGCCCGGAAGGCAGTTTAGTTTGGTATCCATTTAAGGCAACCTATAACTGGACGTACTACTACTCTCAGTCGTATTGACTTTTCAATATGAAATCGAATGGACAACAACACCTAGGCAGGCGGTGTCCCATTGTGATGTTCATTGTTTGACCGCACTTCCTCGCTTTTTCAGTTCGTTGACCGACTTTTTGTGCGAAATTATCATTGGGACACATATTTGCATACATGTTTGTTTGTTTACCCAGCAGCTCTTTCTCCATCCCGCTGACCGAATAACGGGCTGGTGGCGGTCGCATTCTCAGCTTCCGTTTCTTTCAGCGGCTCTTTCTTTGTTCGCCCGAGGGCAAGAGGGATGGCTGAAGAGATGGCTCTTGCCAAACCAGTTGGGGTCTATAAAGCTAACTCAGCACTTTCCTGACCTCTGTGTGCCCGCAAGTACTTCAGATCGACTTCGGATTGTCGAGAGCCCATCACTCGTCGGGGTTGTTCAATCAATGAAACCATTCCAGAGACAAGGGCAATGGGCAGAATAGATCCCCGTATGAGGTAATGGAAACCGCAGACGTCGAACTTCTAAGGAAACGTAATTTGAGATACGGCAGCCACAAGAAGAACAACAAAAGCCTAGGCAAAACAAAGCGGGCGTAAAGATAAGCTTTAGAGGAGGTCTAACGAGGGGCGTGGGAGATGGTAAACGGAGGACAACCCGGTGTCACTCAGCTTCAATTACACGCGACATCCTTCAAGCTGCTTTCCATTTTTAGGACGAGCCGCTTTCGACGCCTGGCAACCCCAATCAAAGTCAAATTATAATGTATAACATATATAAAAGCTCTGCTTTTGATAATAAAAAAGCAAAATTCGGCCAGTACTGTTAAAAAATCAAATAGCATTCTTATATTCACAGTTGGAATTTAGACTGATGAAGTTTTTGTAAGTCATGAAGATAGTGGTTACGATTTTATACAGACTTCTGATAGAAATGTAAAGGCTGCAAACCATGTTCGTTATTTTTTATTTTTAGTGCTTGTAACTTCGTTTTGAGCTTGTTACAAATATGTGCGGTCAGCTTGGCAACCCTAATTCCCTGTGCGAAGGGCAAAATTAGGGGAACTCAAAGCAAAAGCTTGGTTCGAATTGAATTTTCCGGTGGCAAGGGTTGTGGGGTTCACCTGGCAGGGCTGGGGCGACACCCCTCGGAAAATTGCTTTTAAAATGAAACAGAGAGCGCTGTGGAAAAAACAGGTTATGCTGCTATGCTCCTCGATTGATTTTCTCTCGTGCCGGCGACGCATCAATTACGCTGCCCTGGCATTAATTATCGGCTGGCGTATGCATTTGTTCGGGGTTTATTTTATCGCTATGCGTCAGGGTTGCCATGTGTTCGTTGTGGAAGGGGTGGCGACCCCAGGAAGGGATGGGGCCTTCATCCAAGGCGGGGTTTAGTCCGCTTATCGCTGTTTGACTTTTAATTTTTATTGCTTTCGGGGCAAGGGCATTTGGAGGGGGAGGGAGGGACGCACCCCGTGAGTTTGTTCAGCGCTCAACATTCCGAATATGCTATTTTCGTGTTCATATTCCACATGCAACACAGTCCCCAGCAAACCCGGGCGACACAAATACACATGGTTAGGTATATTTGTTAATTCAATTTGCCCTGAACTTGTATACAATGCTTTAGTGCTTACTTTGTTAACTTAAACTTTGTGTGTCACAGCAGGCTAACATTCATATAAATTCGTAAAAATTAATTTTACAAATCTTAAAAACACAAACAGAAAAGATGTAAATCAAAGGCGCATTGCATTTGTTCTCTCAATGTCGAAGATCAGCTGATCTACATATCTGCCCTCATGTACTTATTTCGTTCTACACTATTCTATTTACTTTTGGCTGTAATTTTTCGATTTGGGCAGTTGTGTTGTTGTTTGGCATAGCCAACCACTTATGACAGTGATGGGCGAATAAAAAAGGGTAGTGATATTAGGTTAATTGACGATTTTGTAAACAAACAATCAACTATTAATTGCGGGCGAGGGGGAGAGAGGCAATCTTCTTTTTTCTCTTATCTGCGGCTTTTGCTACTTCCTTCGTTGCATTACGTCCGTACGTCTTACAAACCGTTTTTGTGTGTGTGTGTGTGTGAACCACTTCAATCTCAATCTCGCTCTCTCACTCGCCTGCATTCAAAGAGGCTGCAAGAGGCTGTGTGAGGAAAAGGGATGGTGGGAGATCAGCGGTAAAAGGAAGAATAATAATAATTACACACATTGCGGCAAAGAAGAGTTGCAACACAAAAAGGAAACGAAGACAAAAGTAAGAATAAAAATCTCACCTCTATCTATCTTTCTGACACTCTTGGCTGCTGTACCAACTAGATCATTTTCCTTTTTCCTTCTTCTTTTATTTAACAAATGCTAAATATATTTTTTATACATTCGGAAAGAGGCAGCATAAAACACGCACGCACAAACACGGACACAGGCACCGACACTCGCACTTGCACTTGAGCAGCCGCTTCGAGGAAAACGTCAACAAAGTTGAAAAATAAAAACAGTTATATTACATCTACTATCAGTCACAATCAACATAAATGCGCGACTTATATTTCAAGTTTAATCTGTCTCATTACTTGGGGTTTTTCGAGGAAACCGAAGAAACGAAAACAAACCGAAAAAACTGAATCGACGGGCAATGAAAAAATGGTAGAGGTGGAAGGAGAAACATCGATGTCGATATCGATGTATCGGTTATATCGATGTTTATATCTTCCTAACTCTAAAAAACTGGTCACACTGAAAAATATCACACAGGTAAGGAAATTTAAAAAAATGTCAGGCCAATTTTGTGACGCCTGCAGGCTGGAGCAGTCCACACACAATGCCGATAATACCGAGACGGATTCCGTTTTTCCCTGCTCTTTTTGGGTTTTATTGAAATTGCTAAGTTATATTTAATAAGTTATATCACTAGTATTAGTTTTTTTTATTTAATACATTTTTTTTTGTTTGGGGGGTAAAATACTGGCTGATGTTTTACTTATTATATTATTACTTGTTTACTTATTTACTTTGGTCTGTTTTTTATCTGTGTTTGGGAGGCTTTAGAAAGCGTCTGATATTTCATCCAAATATTTGTGGTTTGCTATTTAGACTGTCATACGGCACGACACGGGAATAGGCATTAACCACGAAAGTGTTAACATATAAGTGGGCGAATTTCGATAAAATAAACTGCCATTTTAATTACTTTCTTATCTCAAAATGATATCCCGCCAATGAACAATGAATTATGAAAATATCGAAATACTATCGACGATTTATTTGTCTCTGAAAACCATGAAACTCACTTGAACATGGTTAGTGTCTGGGATATGTGCAAAAATGAAATTGATGCTTTTCACAAAAAAGGTTTATCTCGAAAATTAAATTAATATTTTTTTTTTCATGCGTACATGATTAGTGGGGGTAATACTTATTTAAAAGATAGCGGCAGAGAAGTTTTACATTAAATATTGAATTAATTGCATCCCAAGGCCTACACGGTCTAAACAATTTTGTATGCTTATTTTTGTATGGTTTGGATTTACCACAAACTTCAGCCGAACTTAAAAATATTCAACTTTTTGGCATCTAATAGCCTTTACAGAGCGATAACAACATTTTTTAGTTGCAATATTATTCCACTAATCATACAACATATACTAGACTGGTCAAATTTCATAGCGGCAGGCCCCCGGGGCTCTCAGCCGCAGCCCCGGCGCTTCGTGTGCATTCGGGTTTTTGCTCTCTCATTCTTATTCTCATTTTTTTGCTCGCGGACTCATTGCACGAGTTCGATCGTTCAGTCGCAAAGAAGCGAATTTTAAAGAACGATGCTCTTGCGCTTGAATGTATGCGTGATCATGCATTCTCATACACGGGAGCATGTGTGCCTTTATTTTATTTCGCCCCTTTGCTTTCGCTCCTTTGCTTTTGTTTTGTTTTGCTTTTGTTTGGACAATGATTTTTGGATGATTTATTTTTTAATGATTCGCAGTGTAATTTTAATTGTCTTTAACAATTTCAATTGTCTTTAAACAATTCGATATAATCCAACATATAGGAACAATTAAAATTATAAAATTATTATCATTAAAATATTATTTAAACAAAAATGAAGATTATTATATTTGTTTCATTAACCTCTACAAAAATATAAAAAGTATTTTAGAAGTTTTTTTTGTAAATGAGTTACAAAATAATAAATAACGATAACAAGGAAGCAACGTCACAAAGCAACAAATGATTTCTAAAGAAAAGATTAAAATTGTATATGTTAAAAAAATATGCATTAAATATAAAAATATTATCAAATTCTAAGAATTTGTTGAAATTTGGTAGGTCTACCATATAGCTCGAGCAAATACGTCAGCATAGAGCTATTAAAAAAATTATTCCGAAGTCCGCATACTCTTCAAAATATTAAAAATAAAACAGAAACAATTCCCCACAGATGTGTATTTGTAGAGAAGCAGGAACAGCCGAAAAAATCGTATTTTTGACATAGCGTCGTTTTCTATTTGATATTGTTTGCTTGTGCCTGTTGCTTTGTCTGCCTTTCTACCTGTAAAATACAAAGGTTAATGTACGAAATATCGCCCGACACTCTCATAAACGAAAAATCGGCCAAACAGGTGGTCGGCGGTTGGACCTTAAAATGCATATACCTATGTATGTGTTCTTCCAGTAAAACGCTAACATTCTGCTGCCCTCTTCAACGATGAAGTGTTATTCCCCGCGCCACATAAGTGAATATCTTTGCAGCTATACGCGCTGAAATGTCGTTTTGGGTGAATCAGTAACCGAACCAAATTCGTCTGATTCGCACACGCGCAGAATTGTTTTTCCATAGCGTATTGAGCGTATTGTAGACTCGTTCTTTGTTTGGAGTCGAGTCGAACCGTATAATATCCCGCAGACTTTAAAGTGAGTGCTTTTAGCAAACATATGTATGTATGTACATAAGACCAATGACGTAGGCAGAAATGTCTCTGAGCTTCAATGAATTCGTCAATGAATGAGGCGAAAAGTGTAATTTCATGCCCGTATTAATAGTTATGCCTCAATATCATGCAGACATTTCGTGGAAATTCAAAGTTAAGTGGCCTAATAGCTTTTAATTAGTAAACGATTGTATGGAATGCTGGATATTTCTTATCAGCCCGGCGTGTTGACTAAGTCTATATATTTTTTAAGTTAAACCACTAAAACATACTCTATAACATTTTTTTTAAATTTAACTTTCTTAAAATAAAATCAAATTATTGAACAAAACACATTTTTTCTACCTTCAGTTTTCCAAAAAAAAAAAAAACCAAAAAGGGAAAAGTAGTCCACAACATTCAATACTAAATTGGCGCGGCAACACATTTATGGCGCATTTTATTGCAGATGTTCACAAGGCAAATATGGTTTTGAGCAGGGGCGGATCTAGACAAAAAGTTTACCAAAATTTCGAAATGGGGGGTGGACAAAAAATATGAAATATATCCATTTTGACATGAAACGCCCCACCCCAAGTTTAATTTAAATGGTTTTCTCATATCTTAAGTTATATAATAAGCTCGCAGGTAGCGGCGATAGTGCGGTTGAGCAGATGTAAACAATAAAATGATTATTATTGCAATTCTTTGGAAAAGAAAAAAACAAAAAACACTGAAAAGAGAGAGCATTCATGCTCCGCTGAGTTGGAAAATTTTATCTGAGAGCAACGCATACTTGGGAAACGAAGTAAAAATCGCTCAATGGCTTAGAATGTTTAACTACTCAGCATTCACAGAGAGAGCACGTTCTCAGCTGAGTTGAAAATGTGCTCAGAACAAAAACGTTACAATGTCTGCTCCTTTTGCTGATAAGTCAGTCTTTATGTCTTATGGCAGGAGTTATCACAGTATGTAAGGGCGTGTTAGGCTTACAAAGAAACACTTATATTTAAGGGTATATATTTTAATAAGAAGACATACAAGATATGCAGAAAAGATTAATTTTTACAAGTTTGTGAAAAATTGGGATAGATAAGCGTTTTGATATTATCTTCAAATCATTTGTTTTTTTGCAGAAGAATGCGGATTCTTCCAAGATTGTTTGCCACAGTTCTTTTGCTGATAGCGCAAAAAACAAATGCAGACATTTCCGATTGCGACTTCTTTGACACTGTCAATATATCGACAGCTCAAAAGTTATCAAATGGCTCTTATCTATATGAAGACTTGGTCATTCCCGCTCATTTGACGGGTGAATATGACTACAAACTTTTGTCGGACGACTCGAAGGAGAAGGTGGCGAGCCACTTAAGAGGATGTGTCTGCAAATTGAAGCCCTGCATCCGGTTTTGCTGCCCTCACGATCACATAATGCACGAAGGCACATGCTATGATGACATGACGCAGGAGGAGTCGGACGGGATCGATCCATTCGTGAACTTGACGCTCGGCAACGGATCGGTGGTCACGAGGCACTTTAAAAAAGAATTCATCTTGCAGTGGGACTTGCCCATGCCCTGTGCCAATAACAATATGTTCTACCTAGACAGCCGAGAAGAAACGGATAAGTACACTCTTTTCGAGGTTTATTAGCTGAATAAACTTGATAGATGCGGCAACTTTAACCGGCATTGGCCCTCTGTAGAATGGAACCTTTAAACGCCACCATGACAACGCGTTCTTCAGCAAGCGAGAATACTGCCTCCAGCATATGGAACTCAACGACGAAGTCGAAAAAACAACTTTTTTGCAAATTGTCCCTCACACCTGCCTGGTAGAGCAATCTGAAACGGGAAGAACAGCGCAAACTGTCGGTAAGCCTAAATGTTTTCGCAGCATAAAAACTTAATGAATTTTCTTTTCTCTCTATTTCCACAGTGATGATCATTTCGTTGATTTGTATGGTGCTAACAATCAGCGTGTATCTCTTTGTCAAGAAACTACAGAACTTGCACGGCAAGTGCTTCATCTGCTACATGGTCTGTCTCTTCATGGGCTACCTCTTCCTGTTGCTTAACTTGTGGCACCTATCGTTTAGTTTCTGCATTACAGCAGGTATGCTGACTCGAAGAATTCGAAGATCAAGGATAAATACAAAAGTAACACATTTTCTTGACTAGGTTTCCTGGGCTACTTTTTCGTCATGGCCGCATTCTTCTGGCTGTCTGTCATCAGTCTGCATCTTTGGAATACGTTCAGTGGGACTTCCCACCAAGTCAACAGATTCCTGCCGGAATCTCGGTTTCTGACCTACAACATGTTCGCCTGGGGAATGGCGGCTCTCTTGACCGGAGTCACCTATCTAGCTGCTAAGTTCGTGGAAAACGAGAATTGGAATCCTCGTGTGGGCAAATCTGAAGAATGTTGGATCTTTAGTGTGTTCCCTATTTCGATTATATTCGTGGGCTGTCATCTAGTTTCACTTTCCATCCACAGCTTTGGAATGGTCTGCCATGCTATACTTCTATGGACCGATGCTGTTGCTGATTGTGTTTAACATTACCATGTTTATCCTAACGTCTATTCGCATAATGAGAGTTAAGAGGGATATCCAGAACTTTGCCAACAAGCAAGACAGGAAGCAAAAGCTCAACTCGGACAAACAGACGTGAATATAATTATATTGATCCCTTATAATTATAATTATAATTATATTGTAATCGCTTACAAAACTCTTTACAGATACACCTTCTTTTTGCGACTCTTCATCATCATGGGTCTGTCGTGGAGTTTCGAGATAATCTCTTACTTGGTGCAGAGCAACAAACCTTGGGCCAACGCTTTAATGGTGGCTGACTACTTTAACTGGGGCCAGGGCATCATCATATTTGTACTGTTTATTCTAAAGCCCAGTACGCTAAGACTTTTGAAGGAGCGGTACGTAACCTGCGGTTCTGCTAAGAGCTCGATTAACCAGGTCCCATTATTGTTTCTGCCTGAGCAGCATTAGGGGTGGGAGTGAGGAATTGGAGCCCGGTGACAGCGAGGAAGAGATCTCGCTTGAGAATACCAAATTTGATCCAAATGTCCTGTAATAGGTAATCCGAAGAGAACTGTGTCTTTGTTATTTTTGGTGTTGGAAACCCCTCGTTCTACTAATAAGCAGGCTTTTATTCTTGCATGCCAGATCGAAACGATATTTTAATCCCACTGGTGTGCCGATATATGTTTCTTAACACTTATACTTCGGTTCTTTGCTTATCACCTTTGAATTTATCTGCTTTCCCTCGGCAGGGTGTTTGTCTCTTGTTTTTACCTAACTTTAGTTTACTGTTGCACGTTTATTAACCATTCATGTTCCTTTCATATTTCTAATAGTTTTTATCTCCTAGACACCATCCAAAAACCACGTGGAGTGCCATCAGTTCGAGATCGAGAGTAAGTCGAAGTACGACTGGTGCATCTTTCAATCGATTCACAAGGACAAACTCTTCCGCACCAAACACATCATTAAAGTAGATGACGCATTTGCATAACAATAAGTGCATCAGGAAATCAATACTATTAATTTAGTAATTTAAGGATGACGTTGTCGCGCTCGTAAGATCAATTAACTCTATTATTTGTAACAAATTAATTTCTGTTTGTCGTGAGGTAATAACTCTAATATGTTTAATTTACTTAACACTCGTAAGATCAATTAACTCTATTATTTGTAACAAATTAATTTCTGTTTGTCGTGAGGTAATAACTCTAATATGTTTAATTTACTTAACACTTGAAATGAAAAAAAAAAGGAACAACTTAAAATTTGTAACTAACAGTTTTAGCTTTAAGGCTCGTTTCCTCATCCCCATGGTAAGCAAAACTTAAGTTTTAAAAAGATAAATTACATTCGGATTAGTACGTATCTTGTTTTGTAGTTTACAATTAAGACGAGAAAATGGGCCTAAATGCTTAACCTTAACTCTCAAACTACAACAGCCTTTCAGTAATTTTATATAACGACATTACTCATAAATAAATAAGTACAGCAACACAAGTTATATCAATTTTCGACTGCGAGTACCGCCCCTTTTCACGAAATGCGAGCTCGGCACAACTATAAAAGCACTTACATCAAAGGAACCTCAATCGAATTGCAAAATGGGTAGGCTACGGGAACTGACCCAACGGATTTGGGAATCGCATGAGGACAGTGGTACTATTGGGTCCATAGAGTTAGACGTGTGGCTAGCCCAGTTAACTGGCCTGCCGCTTTTGGATATCAAGACCGAGTCGAAATTCCAGAGAATCCGCATCCTCGTCACCAGCTACGTTGTCTTGCCGTGCCTCTTTTGCTATGTGTGGCTCGAAATATATGACCTGGTCCTCAATTGGAATGACGTAGACGTGATGACCCAAAACGTGGTGGAGACACTGACCCACTTGGGTTACTGGTTTAAGGTCAAGGTCGATAACGAAATGACTAACATTCCTTGATCTATTTTGGTTTGAAATTTAGGTGTTCAACACTTTTTACCACTACGGGGAGATAAAGCAGATCATTTTGAAGTTTAGGTTTCTCACCAGATCTTGCGTGCTATCCTCTCAGCAGAAGAAGACCTTTCACCAAGTGGAGGCGGAGAGCAAGCTGGCCTGTCTTACGTACTTCTGTCTAACCGTGTTCTCATCGACAATGGCCTTAGTCATGGTGCTAAGTGGTGAGTAATTATTTTTTTTTTTTCTTATTTTTGTTTCTTGATTTTTTTTTTGGGTTTTAGAAATATATTCATTTTTATACATACATATTTTGAAGTTATATTTTTTTAAACACATTTTTTAAAATAAGAATCCATCACTTTGCGCTTATTGAAAAGTCAACCCGAATATGAGTAATTATTCTCATCTCTGGATCAAATCCCTTGTCTTCCATTTATTTGGTACTATAAATTTATATGTAAACATTTTTAAATATGGGTATTTGTTTGAAACACAAAAGTATCCCGAAATACTTAATTATTTTCTTTCGAACAGCGCCAGACGAAATGGCGGGTAAGCGATTCCCGTTTCGCGTTTATATGCCATCCTGGATGCCTCCTGTGGTACAACATGTATACATGGGTCTCTGTCTGTGGTTTGTCTGCTGCGGTGTCACCACCATCGACAATTTGAATGTGCTTTTAATGAACCACATCTGCCTGCACCTCAAGATTCTTAATCTGGCCTTCGAGGCCCTGGAACTTGGCCCGAAAAAGCGGGTAGAGGTTGATCCGCACCACTGGATGGAATCCATTGTCAAATATCACTGCAGCCTGATTGAGTGAGTTAGTTTGCCTAACGTTATGAGTTCCGATCCTAACTATCCTGAAGGTTGCGTCAGCGAATGGAGCGAGTGTACATGATGCCAGTCATGTTTCAGTTCGCATCATCCCTGCTTGTGGTTGCCATGACGGTATTCCAGATGCTATTGGGTGACGGATCCAACAGCACGGTGCTCATGTACTTCCTGCTTGTGGGATTACTGTGTCAGATATTCCTCTACTGTTGGTTTGGCAACGAGGTTTTCGAGCAGGTGAGTTCTACTTTATTTTTCTTATTCGAAAATACAAATTTTTATACCTCAGAGCAAGACGCTTTCCATCTCCGGATTCGGCTGCAACTGGCTCCAGTTCGACGTTCGGTTCAGGAGATGCCTTCTCATATTTATGGTAAATGCAAGCCGACCATTCCTGTTTACGGCAGGCGGATTCATGGGTCTCACCCTAACGAGCTTCGCTTACATTCTGGGAAAGTCCTACTCCATTGTGGCAGTTCTGCGGCAGATGTACGGCAGGACACAATAAACTGAGGCTCTAAATAAACCCATTACTAGGTCAAGGGTTCCCTTACTCAGAAGTAGACAATCCGTTTAACCGCACAATGATAATTGGCTGTCATAAAATGTGCTTACATATTTTTAGTTGATTTTGTTGATTGTTTTTGGCGTGTAACCTAGTATTATTTCACAAGCTGTCATTATTTTGTTGGTCTCAGTTTTATGACTCGCACAGTGAAAAAAATATATTTACAAAGCCAATAGTGCTTTTACTAAATACTTATTGAATCTGTTACCCATTTTGTTATGACAGATCATGTTACTCAATTTTGTACAGTAAGTATACTGAGGAATAATGTCGCTTGGTGCTTCCATCTTTAATTGAATTAGGAACAGTTGAAATTGGAGCCTGCGGTGGAGGTATCTCTTTTAGGAAATTAATATTTCAGTGCATTTATATTCGAAAGGTTGAACCTCAAGTTGCCTATTATTTTCTCAAAACTTTAGTTGAGGTGTTTGGTTTGGTTTAGAAGTACGTTTCACCGCACAATAGAAATTATTTGCCTTGTTGAAATCAATCGTTGTAGAAACATTTTAAATGCGTTTGCTTCTGGAATCGTTTACCACAGTTCTTTTACTGATGGTGAAAAAAACAAACTCTGAAATCCTCGGTTGTGTCTTTGACGACACTGTAGATATATCGGCAAGTCAAAAGCTATCGAATGGGTCTTACCTATACGAAGGCTTACTGGTTCCCGTGCATTTAACGGGTAAATATAACTTCAAAATTATGCCAGACGGCTCGAAGAAAGAGACGGAGAGCCACTTAAGAGGATGTGTGTGCAAACTGAAGCCCTGTGTTAGATTCTGCTGTCCTGAAAACCAAAAAATGGATCGTGGCAAATGCCACGATGAAGAGAAGGACAAGTTGGACGGGGTTGATCCATTTGTAAACATAACGCTTCGCAACGGATCGGTAGTCATAAGACATTATCAAAAGGACCTAATCGTGCAGTGGGATTTGCCATTTTCCTGTAATCGTTTTTACCTACTAGATAACCGAAATGAAATGGATGAGTACAATTTGTTTGAGGTTTACTTTCTCAATAAAAATGCAAAGCGTGGTAAGTTTTTATCGATTTTCCTATTTTTAGAATGGAACCTTTCTACGCAACTATGACGACGTGTACTTGAACAAGGGGGAATACTGTCTCCAGCATCATACCTTCGCAGACGGAAATAAAACATACTCTCGAATTGTGCCCATCAACTGCTATGTAGAGCCTCCGACAGAGTGGAAGGCCTTGGGTAAGTTAATGACAAAATCAGCTAAAATAGTCTCTGATCTATCTGTCTTCTTACAGTGTTGCTTTTATCACTGATATGCTTGGTTTTCACGATCAGTGTGTACCTTGTTAATAAAAAGCTTCGAAACCTTAAAGGGAAGTGCTTTATTTGCTACATGGTCGCTCTTTTTATGGCATACCTTCTCTTATTTCTCAGTTGGTTGGATTTATGGTTTGACTTTTGCCAAACACCAGGTTAGTTGATTGATTTAAGTGTGCGACATATTGAAAATTTTTTTGTAAAATGTTTTAGGTTTCTTGACCTACTTTTTCTTCATGTCTGCCTTCCTTTGGCTTTCTGTAATCAGCCGTCACATCTGGAAAACGTTAACCAAATGCTCACATTCCGTCAACCTGCCAAAGCGTCAGTTCTTGGCCTACAATACTTTCGCCTGGGGAATGGCGGCGGTGTTGACCGGAGTAACCTTTATAGCCGATAGGGTCGTGGAGAACAAGGATTGGAGTCCTCTTGTGAGCATTCACTGTTTTATTAGTAGGTTTGTTCCACTTGCAAATTCTTTCCTGCGCGCTCATGGCATTTTCCTATTCACCCATAGATAATGATATGTCGGCATGGATTTACCTTTTTGGACCGATGCAGGTGCTGTTTATGTTTAACATTACCATGTTTATCCTGACGGTAATTCACATTTTAAAAGTAAAGCGGGTCATTAACAACCTCTCACAGCAAGAGGAGGGAACACAGAGGTAACTCAAATGATAAGAACTACATATTTCAAATGACTTTCATATTGAAATCACAGTTTCACCTTCTTTTTGCGGCTTTTCGTCGTCATGGGTCTGTCGTGGAGCCTGGAAGTATTAATCTTCTTACTGAAAGATTCTAGATTTTTGGAAAATGTTTTTGTAGTGGTCACCCTTTTTAATTGGTCTCAGGGTATCCTCATTTTTGTACTTTTTGTTCTTAAGAGGAGCACACTAAGTCTTTTGAAGGAACGGTAAGTAATCTGAAACTACTGCTCAAATGTCCCAAATTAACTCTTTAATCCAAAGAAAACGTTTTAATTTTGTTCAATTGGTAACGACATCCACAACTCCTTTCATTATTTAATGTTGCATCTTTCGTTATCACTTGTATTTTCACTTTTCTGTAAGACTATTTACCTACAGTTTTTTTTTTAGATTCCGTTCTTCAAAAGTAAGTCGGTTGTCAACTGGCATTTCTTTCATCCAGCACAAAGGGCCCATAAGTAATTAAGTGATATTAAATTAAAAAAAAAATATTGACTCCAAATATTATTCTGTTTTTTATAATAACAAAAATAACTTATTTACCACGACACTATTCAAATTTATTGAAGAAAAAAAGGTCATACCAATGGATACTACTGTTAAACTATATTTACATATATGTTTAATGAAACTGCGTTTGAATGTATTTTGCAAGTACCTAATTATATAAATAGAAAATACAAGCTTTAATTGTGTACTTAAATGACGTGGGACTCGAAAAGTTGAGCCTTAAATTTACTATAAAGTGAGAACTTTACGCGATCAAAATCTCTTGGGAATTCCAGTACTAATTCGGAGCTGTTCGTGATCTTTCACCGTACTTCACCAATTGGTGGTATCATCCGCTGGTGCTAAAAGCTTTTCGTTAAACTGCGACAGCTTTTCGCCGCAGCTTTTGATTTCGAATATTGGCACTGCGAGGAAGCGAGCCAACAGAACTGAAGCATCGGCCTCAGTAGCAGCGAATTCGGCCGATGAAGAAGTTCACTTGCGGGTCACTCGGCTACGATAAGCGGGATATATCTTAATTAAACTCTGCTAGTCGCGCTTATCTTAAAGTTAATTGCGGTCCTGTAAGCACATCTCTTAAGAGCAATTAACAAAACAAATTTACCAAAGTGATAGGAATCTGTGTGATAAAAATAATGTGTGTGTTTGCCAATTAAGAAATCCTGAGGCGATTAGAGATCGCTCTGTGGAATGTTCCCCGTTCAAGGCCTCTGTGCTTGGGTATCCGCCCCTTTGGCGAGTTGCGAAACCAGAGGAGCCTTGCCTGATGCTTATAATGCGACTTTAATGTCTCGCTCGGCCCACAACAAACAGTCGCGTTGTCTCTTCATGTATTGCCAATTGTTTTGTACTGATCTTTTATTTTTGTCTGAACCCATGTTTATGTACATGTGTCGCTGCGACCGATTCAATGCCAAAACCAGTTTTTGTCTTTTTCTCAAGTTCGCCAAATGACGGCAAGCAATTTTCGGGAATACCACAGAAGTGCCTCTTCCTTGCCTCTCCCAAAATCAATTGGCACGTTCCTAATGGGAGTTTTAACTGACTATTATCTGTTATTGAAGTGTTTAATGCCCGATTCTATTGCTCATTTCGATCCATGGATGGTCTTGGCCACCGCTTTAAGCTATACAGCTATGGTCTACACAGCTGATTCCGAACACGTCGTGCAGTGTTTAAGTTAAAATAAACATATCCGTACCGTTTTGGGTGATTCGGCTATACGTGCTAATGCTTTATTTCCAACTTTTGGGACGTGGGACTTGGCTTCCTTTACATGGCTTAAATCTGTCGTTGCATTTCTTTATATAACCCAGCCTTTGGCGATTCAGAACGATAAGAAAGATTTCTTTTATTACCAATGCTTAAGCTTTTTTTCTGTCCAAGCTTAACGTTGTCAACAATAGGTTCTCAGCAGAAAGTGATTTAACAATCAATGGTTATCACTGTACAAAGAATTCAGTCTGTTCTTCCCAAACTCTCGATTATGCAAACGAAGATGAGATCAAAACAAAGGAAAATTTCTGCTGGACTGTTATACTGCGAGAGAATTTCTTTGACTCAAAAAGCTGGCCTGGCGCCCAGCTAATTAGTTCCCAAATCGAGCATGTTAAACAATTTGAGTCATCACCACCAGTGTTCGTATTTCCCTGGGGCCCCCGCTTCACTCAAGAAGTCCATTCATTGTCCGACATAATTGTTTTGCTTGCCCGCAGACACAATCGAGCCACTGTTGGCACTCGATCAAATTTCGTATTGTCCGACGCTTTGTTTTGATTGCCTTTCAATTAGTGAAGTCGACTTACAGACCAATAACATTGCTCTGCTATACGTCTGCTAATTCCTTCAGTGTTTCACACACAGCTCCTCAGTTCGCGCCAAGACTTCAGTGAACGTGGTGGGTGCTCTCTGCTCGGTCGAAACGAAAACTCCATTGAAAAACCCGGCAAAACAGGGGCACCTATCTTTAGATCGGAATTACGAATGTCAATGTTAATTAACTCGTAAGCTAGCGTGTGATTTTGCCGGTGTCTAAAGCCCGCTCCACCGTAACCGGTTGCCGTGTGTGTGTGTTCGCATATTTACACCCACTCCCCGGGGAATTCCCCAGTACCTGAAGTTTCTGCGCCGGGCAGTGAGTGAAAAATATTTAGAGAGAACTGCGTTATGAACATTATGGATATGAGGATCTGTTGATTTCTTGAGAAGCGTTTATGTGGTTACCCACCTTGAGCCGCAATCTCTTCCCAGACCGAATTTGCCAATTTGTCAAACCTGATAAAATATCACTACCAACTCGTAACGCAAGTCGAATTTAAAACCGAAACCATGTTTCGTTAAAGCGTTTTGCAAGGCGACAAAAAACCCATAAACCCCAAGAGACTCTCACAGAGGTTTGACTGTGTTTTTGTTTACCCATCCATACCTGGTCAGTGTTTTCAGCTATCGACACTGCCGAACGTGAAATGCAAGTGCCAACGAAGTTCCCCATTGATCTATAACTGGAATGTGAGCGAACTGAACCAACAACAGGAAGAACTCTGTTGATCAGCAGCAAACAACTTCAAGTTGTCCACATTATTCATCACATTCATCACCTGAGCCGGGTAAGTTGCATGCCATTAACAATATTATAATTAATATATCTCTCGCTTGCCATAAATTAAGTAGTATCTATTCCTTGAGCTCATTTTCATTCTACGTATATAATTTAAATGTTTCCGAATACCAAAGAATTTCCGCGTTCAGAATTTTCTCTTTCATAGAATTTCCAACGAAAGAATCAGCAAAAAAAAAGCAATGGCTTCTGAACGACATTTATTTTTATAAGTTAATGAGTTTCCATTTTTAAATTAATTATGAGGGGGTTTTATGGCTAATGTGTTTACATAATACAGCATTTTATTTGTTGAAGTATGTTTACGTATCGGACTTTCCTAGATATTATTTTAATTTTACGTATTACATATTCTTATTCAAATTAGTTAAGAAGCTTATACAACTAACAAAAGCTTTACTTGACAAATGCATCTGACTCAGTTGATAGGCCGCGCACTTGTAGAAAAAGTGTGCAATATTAATCGATGGCCCATAAATAAGTAATTGCTTGAGCTTACTCTTTACAAATTCCCAGATTGTAGAATCAGAGCTGAAAACTGCTAGTTTCATGACAAATACTGCCTGACGCCTGGGTAGTGTTTATCCAACTGTTCTCACTCGATGCAATTTTATTGAGTCACTGAGAAAATTGGTTATAATAGGGAAATGGCTGGCCAGCCCCCTAAAGGCCGCACCTTGGCCATCCGATCCAATCCCATCGGATCTGAACTGTTTCTTTCGATTCGGAATTCGAATTTGTTAAATGTTGTTTACACTTTCGCACATTTGGCTGGGAATTGTTGTTGAAACATCTTGGGAATATTGTTTATTGTTTGCTTTGAGGTCTGTTTATTTCGCTACAATTTTCTTACCTCCTGAGTTGGAGATAAATATATAAAAAACATCTCCAGCGTAGTGCCCTTTATTATTATCTATATAAATATTACATGTTTGGCCTGCCACTACTTTAGTTTGCAAGTGGGGCCGACTTTACAATTTCATTCACCCACATGAGAGGTTCGCTGTTTGGGGAGTTGGGTTCTCCCGCTGTGCATTTGTTTCCGTGATAAGCCAAATGCATATACCAATTAATTAGTAAAATGTTTTTCTAGTTAGCCAGTTTGCGGTGTGTTTTTACAGCTAGCTCTCCTATCTCCTGTATAATTGAGAATAAATAGTCTATCTCGACTGCACGAGAGACCATTACTAACGCAATATATCACATTAACCACCAGGGGTTGCAAACGTTGGAAAAGTTTTCTTAATCATGTTTCCTACATCTTAAAACTCCACGAGTCATCAAATTTTGTTTATGTTGCGTAAGGAATTCTAACAACACAAAATACATTTTTCGTTCCGCAAAAGATTTAGTTAGGAGCACCGAAACTATTCATGAGTAATTTCATGTGAAAAGTGCCACCCATTTCTTAAAATTGTAAAATAAAAACATATTTTTTTTAGAGTCACCAAATACAACTAACCCTTAACTGTAATTAAAAAAAAAAATATCATTAGAAAAATTTGTAATTTAAAAAAGTGTTTACAAATGCCGTTATTCAAAATATAAAAATACAAAATGTGTTATTTTTTAAAGATAAAGTAATATTTGTGTAATCTAATAAGATTCAAGCGAACGAATGTTAAGTTATAAATTTTTCCCTAGAACTATATAATAAATGGCGTACACGAAATATATTAAATGGGTGGCACGTTTCTCATGGAACAACTATTATCGGATTAATTAATTAGGTAATTCGTTTTGAAAACTTCCACCGATTTTCTTACGCACTTTTTTCTTTGATTGGGGGTTTAAACTCTAAATTGAAACACATCAGGCAAAACAAACCTTATAAATAGTTAAGAAAGAAAAACCAATTTGGAATTCATAATCCACGGGGTATTCACATTTTTTGGTTTCACTAAAGCTAATAAGCGCTAACAGACATTCATGTTGACGGACATTTATCTTCGCGGTTCTCGAGTTCCCGAATGGGATCTGTTGACTGCCGTCCTGCCCCCGGAAAGGTGAAAAAGTGGAAAAGTTGGGTGTCAGAGGAATAATATTTGGCGAACTTGCCACCCGTCCACTCTAATAGCAATCAATTGATAGAACCGCCCGCCTTTGTTTACAATCCACAGACAGCATCGGGGGTCTAAAAATACTCGAGTTGGAATTTTCTCACGAAATACACAGCGAAGAAGAGCCCCACCAGCAAACCCGTCAATGGGTTGGCCATTAAAAATTGTTTTGCCCAGTGTTTGTTTGGCGGGGAAATAAAAAAAAATTGGACCCTGTAATCGCACTTATCTACCCGAAAACCCACCGCAGCTCACCACAGTTCAAATTCGGTGTGGTGACTTGCAATCATGGGGTCTTCGCAGGGTAGTATCTCCTGTCTTTGGCGATTAGTTCCACTTCTGATACGAACTGAAAACCGCGCGGGCCTTGCCAAGATATTGGGCATATATATAAGAAGCTC